GATAGTTTGATCAGGTTGTTTCACCAAAAGCGTTTGAACGTGGGTAGTTTTAAACCTGATAATAGGCAAAGCGGCGTAGAAAGTGTGGCTGACTGTTGTTTTGAGCCGGTCGTAAAGCCGTTTCATAACGTCATCCCCTCGATAGGTTGGATGTATGTAGACTTGTTGTTTGGGGACTGACGTTCCTGTAGTAGTTGGCTGAGGAAGTTGGCAGTGGCGCCTAATAAATCCAACTGGGTCTCCGTTCAATAATAACGTTTGTTTGAGGATTTCTAGTTCAGACTGTAGCGTATCGTTGGAGCAAATCTTTCTAGCGCGGTTGAATAGGAAAGATACTTGGACGGGCCAGTACATGAATTTTAATAGTTTTGCACGCATCCAGTACAAACGTGGCCTAGTAGGAACATTATTCAACCGCGCTAGAAAGATTTGCTCTCTTCCCATGTCTTAATCGTGTTCTGCTCACTCTCTACACAGATATAGCCTGGTATCTACATTAGTGTGTGTAGATCTCTATCTACAAGTGTCTACACTACTCCCCTTCCCGATCCCCCCCCCCCCCCCCACACTCCCCCCAGTTGTGTTCCCGAACCTGCACTGTGTATGGATCTCCATCTACAAGTGTCTACACTACATCAAGTTCAACCCCGTGTTACTGTCTCACTGTCTAACTCTTTCTCTCTTTGTCCCACAGTTGTGTTTCCGGACCTGCACTGTGTATGGATCTTCATCTACAAGTGTCTACACTACATCAAGTTCAATCCCGTGTTTTGGCTGGAAGCCCGCATGAGGGAAGTTGTGGTCATGCGCAGAAATAATAAAGAGGTAAGAGAACTGTAGACTCACTGTTGCTGGTTGAGGACTAGATAAGCACTGTAGACTCCCTGTTGCTGGCTGAGGACTAGATAAGCACTGTAGACGCACTGTTGTTGGTTGAGGACTAGATAAGCACTGTAGACTCACTGTTGTTGGTTGAGGACTAGATAAGCACTGTAGACTCACTGTAGTTGGTTGAGGACTAGATAAGCACTGTAGACTCACTGTTGCTGATTGAGGACTAGATAAGCACTGTAGACTCACTGTTGCTGGCTGAGGACTAGATAAGCACTGTAGACTCACTGTTGTTGGTTGAGGACTAGATAAGCACTGTAGACTCACTGTTGCTGGTTAAGGACTAGATAAGCACTGTAGACTCACTGTTGTTGGTTGAGGACAAGATAAGCACTGTAGACTCACTGTTGTTGGTTGAGGACTAGATAAGCACTGTAGACTCACTGTTGCTGGTTGAGGACTAGATAAGCTCTGTAGACTCACTGTTGTTGGTTGAGGACTAGATAAGCACTGTAGACTCACTGTTGCTGATTGAGGACTAGATAAGCACTGTAGATTAACTGTTGCTGGTTAAGGACTAGATAAGCACTGTAGACTCACTGTTGTTGGTTGAGGACAAGATAAGCACTGTAGACTCACTGTTGTTGGTTGAGGACTAGATAAGCACTGTAGACTCACTGTTGTTGGTTGACTAGATAAGAACTGTAGACTCACTGTTGTTGGCTGAGGACTAGATAAGCACTGTAGACGCACTGTTGTTGGTTCAGGACTTAGATAAGAACTATAGACGCACTGTTGCTGGTTAAGGACTAGATAAGCACTGTAGACTCACTGTTGTTGGTTGAGGACTAGATAAGCACTGTAGACTCACTGTTGTTGGTTGAGGACTAGATAAGCACTGTAGACTCACTGTTGCTGGTTGAGGACTAGATAAGCACTGTCGACTCACTGTTGTTGGTTGAGGACTAGATAAGCACTGTAGACTCACTGTTGTTGGTTGAGGACTAGATAAGCACTGTAGACTCACTGTTGTTGGTTGAGGACTAGATAAGCACTGTAGACTCACTGTTGTTGGTTGAGGACTAGATAAGCACTGTAGACTCACTGTTGTTGGTTGAGGACTAGATAAGCACTGTAGACTCACTGTTGCTGGCTGAGGACTAGATAAGCACTGTAGACTCACTGTTGCTGGCTGAGGACTAGATAAGCACTGTGGACTCACTGTTGCGGGCTGAGGACTAGATAAGCACTGTAGACTCACTGTTGTTGGCTGAGGACAAGATATTCTCTAATCAATTGTTGACATATATTACAGCCATATCAACACATAGTTATGTTTTTGACCTGTTTCCTCAGTAGTATCTGGCCTTTTGCATGGTTATTGACAGTCTAGTGCTGTTTGACAGTGACAGTCTAGTGATGTCTGACAGTTACAGTCTAGGATGTCTGACAGTTACAGTCTAGTGATGTCTGACAGTTACAGTCTAGTGATGTCTGACAGTTACAGTCTAGTGATGTCTGACAGTTACAGTCTAGTGCTGTTTGACAGTTACAGTCTAGTGATGTCTGAAAGTTACAGTCTAGTGCTGTTTGACAGTTACAGTCTAGTGATGTCTGACAGTTACAGTCTAGTGATATCTGACAGTGACAGTCTAGTGATGTCTGACAGTTACAGTCTAGTGATGTCTGACAGTTACAGTCTAGTGATGTCTGACAATTACAGTCTAGTGATGTCTGACAGTTACAGTCTAGTGATGTCTGACAGTTACAGTCTAGTGCTGTCTGACAGTTACAGTCTAGTGCTGTTTTACAGTTACAGTCTAGTGATGTCTGACAGTTACAGTCTAGTGCTGTTTGACAGTTACAGTCTAGTGCTGTTTGACAGTTACAGTCTAGTGCTGTTTGACAGTGACAGTCTAGTGCTGTCTGAGAGTTACAGTCTAGTGATGTCTGACAGTTACAGTCTAGTGATGTCTGACAGTTACAGACTAGTGATGTCTGACAGTTACAGTCTAGTGATGTCTGACAGTTACAGACTAGTGATGTCTGACAGTTACAGTCTAGTGATGTCTGACAGTTACAGACTAGTGATGTCTGACAGTTACAGTCTAGTGATGTCTGACAGTTACAGACTAGTGATGTCTGACAGTTACAGTCTAATGATGTCTGACAGTTACAGTCTAGTGCTGTTTGACAGTTACAGTCTAGTGATGTCTGACAGTTACAGTCTAGTGATGTCTGACAGTTACAGTCTAGTGATGTCTGACATTTACAGTCTAGTGATGTCTGACAGTTACAGTCTAGTGATGTCTGACAGTTACAGTCTAGTGCTGTTTGACAGTTACAGTCTAGTGCTGTTTGACAGTTACAGTCTAGTGCTGTTTGACAGTGACATTCTAGTGCTGTCTGACAGTGACAGTCTAGTGATGTCTGACAGTTACAGTCTAGTGATGTCTGACAGTTACAGACTAGTGATGTCTGACAGTTACAGTCTAGTGATGTCTGACAGTTACAGACTAGTGATGTTCTCAGACAGTTACAGTCTAGTGATGTCTGACAGTTACAGACTAGTGATGTCTGACAGTTACAGTCTAGTGATGTCTGACAGTTACAGACTAGTGATGTCTGACAGTTACAGACTAGTGATGTTTGACAGTGACAGTCTAGTGATGTCTGACAGTTACAGTCTAGTGATGTCTGACAGTTACAGTCTAGTGATGTCTGACAGTTACAGACTAGTGATGTCTGACAGTTACAGTCTAGAGCTGTTTGACAGTGACAGTCTAGTGCTGTTTGACAGTGACAGTCTAGTGCTGTTTGACAGTGACAGTCTAGTGCTGTTTGACAGTGACAGTCTAGTGCTGTTTGACAGTTACAGTCTAGTGCTGTTTGACAGTGACAGTCTAGTGCTGTTTGACAGTTACAGTCTAGTGCTGTTTGACAGTGACAGTCTAGTGCTGTTTGACAGTTACAGTCTAGTGCTGTTTGACAGTTACAGTCTAGTGCTGTTTGACAGTTACAGTCTAGTGCTGTTTGACAGTTACAGTCTAATGCTGTTTGACATTGACAGTTTAGTGCTGTTTGACAGTTACAGTCTAGTGCTGTTTGACAGTTACAGTCTAGTGCTGTTTGACAGTTACAGTTTAGTGCTGTTTGACAGTTACAGTCTAGTGCTGTTTGACAGTTACAGTCTAATGCTGTTTGACAGTTACAGTCTAGTGCTGTTTGACAGTGACAGTCTAGTGCTGTTTGACAGTGACAGTCTAGTGCTGTTTGACAGTTACAGTCTAGTGATGTTTGACAGTTACAGTCTAGTGCTGTTTGACAGTGACAGTCTAGTGCTGTTTGACAGTGACAGTCTAGTGCTGTTTGACAGTGACAGTCTAGTGCTGTTTGACAGTTACAGTCTAGTGCTGTTTGACAGTTACAGTCTAGTGCTGTTTGACAGTTACAGTCTAGTGCTGTTTGACAGTGACAGTCTAGTGCTGTTTGACAGTGACAGTCTAGTGCTGTTTGACAGTTACAGTTTAGTGCTGTTTGACAGTGACAGTCTAGTGCTGTTTGACAGTTACAGTCTAGTCCAGTTTGACAGTGACAGTCTAGTGCTGAACAAACTATTTACCTTCGTGCAAAAGAAAGGTATCGCTGTAGAGAGCCGCTGGATACCCCACATACCAGAGGCTGCGTTGGGCGCAGTCAAAAGGAGACTCGCTTTCAAATCCAGGTGCGACTCGCTGCATCCCACGGCCGGTGTTTTAAACTGGGCGGTTCCCGGGGTTCACCCAGCCCTCTAGGAAATTAATATTAGAGTTAACACTCTGAGGTGAATGGAGGAACGTCGCTGTAGGAGTTACGTGCGAACAGCGACACCGGCGGACAATTTATTATCGGCTGTCCGTACTAGTGGCAGAGCACTTATGGTTTATAACCGTGTGAATTGATGCTGATTCACATCTCCCGACTTACTGTACCTTATACCAGAGTGACCTAGTGAATTCTGCAGCCCAGAGACGTGACCCCTGCTGCCCAGAGACGTGACCCCTGCTGCACGTGTCAACAGTTTGCTCCCTTAGCTGTACTGTGAGTTCCTAGTACGTGCACTTGTACACATACTACAGAGATGACCAAGTGACCATGTATGTACTCACGTGTTGATGTATTCTGGGTAGACTGAACGCCCAGACCTGATGCAGCAGATGTTGGATGCTCATTTCGCTGCCGACAGAGTCCACGACCTGGAGCACCAGGAGCTGAAGCTGACATCCTCCAACACCAGCACCCTCAAGTCGATGACAAACGAGGTGAGATCTTTACTGGCAAGTTGCTCACCTTCTCGTCTTTATTTCCTTTATGTGTGTTGTTAGCTTACATCACTGACATACTACTATATGTCTGTGTGATCACTGCAATGTGTGTTGTTAGCTTCCATCACTGACATACAACTATATGTCTGTGTGATCACAGCAAAGTGTGTTGTAAGCTTCCATCACTGACATACTACTATATGTATGTGTGATCACTGCAATGTGTGTTGTTGGCTTCCATCACTGACATACTACTATCTGTCTGTGTGATCATTGCAGTGTATGTTGTTGGCTTCTATCACTGACATACTACTATATGTCTGTGTGATCACTGCAATGTGTGTTGTTGGCTTCTATCACTGACATACTACTATATGTCTATGAGATCATTGCAGTGTGTGTTGTTGGCTTCCATCACTGACATACTACTATCTGTCTGTGTGATCACTGCAATGTGTGTTGTTGGCTTCCATCACTGTGACGTGACGCGTGGTTTAAATGTTTATGTTGTTGAGTAGGGATCTTCCTTTCAACACATTCTCTCCACTAGATACACCGAACTAAATCTGAGCTATGTTGCTCTCAGACAAAGTCCTGGATATCCAAGAAAACAGCCATATTGGCTCGTTAAGTATATTAACATTAGCTGAACTTGGTACCCACAAGAGAAGGCAAGGAATTTTAGATGTCTATCATACTTAATGAATTATTAGACAGGGCAAGTGATTCCTCCGTCATCTACCTTCTCCCGGTGTTTTTATGAATAATTAAAGAATTATTATATTATTTATTGAGCCCCCACCAAATGTACTTCTATCTATCAGTTTAGAAAACAGGTAAGATTGAATACACTTGGAATTTAACAAACGATGTAGTATAAAACTTGACATACAGCTTTATTTTCTAACAATCAGTTAATTGACATACCCAGTTTGTTGTGTTTACACAAACAGTGACTAGCTAAAGTTATGATAGTAATGGGTTGTTTCAGCGCGAGAACAGCACCTGGGATTAGAGTGGTGTGATGAAGGTGATAAAGTATGAACAATTTATGAACATAACTCAAGTTTCATAGAACCTCTGACAGCCGTGAGCACTGTCAAGCTCTTCCTCCTCTTCCAGCTTCTTCCCTGCTTGTTTCTCCTTCTCGCCCCCACCTCGTTCTCCACCTCGTTCTCCACCTCGTCCCCAGCTGGCCGAGTCTAACACAATGTAGGCTACTTCATGGACTGATCGTCACATGGGCGCTGTAATCATGGAAACAAAACACATACGTGTAGTATCTTGACTTACACTAAGAATACATGTATCAATTAATACAACATATAATAATAGGATATAGTAATAAGATATAGCCCATCACTCCTCCTCATATTCCACATCCTCTCCAGTCTAGTCTGAAGGTCTTTTGTCTTACATGGGCGTCACATATCCTGCCTTCCCTCAAATGCTATGTCATGATAGTTTGGACTTTCTAAGTCTGTTGTCCGTCTTCACTCAGACTTCGAGTTGGCTGACATAGATATTACATGACCACGTGGAGCAGGTTATGTGCTGAAAACTCAAACATTATATATGTGCACGCTGTCCTGAATATTATCTTTCAGTGACAGTAAATACTGTACACCCATCATTCTCCCCCTGGGGTTATAAATCCCCTGTTTAGTTGAACACATTAAGTGAGCACATGGTGGGCACACAAAACGTAGCAGCATCCCTGCACATATTTGGGCATCATTTCCCACAGTCCCAACTCATATTTTGGCTGATCGTGAAAACAATATAATTACATTTCATTATAGCAAATGTCATTGTTCACATCTTATTTTATACACATGAAAACATACAATGAAAAACATGTGACACAAACATACAGGAAATAGGAATAGTTTAGCAGTTCCCTAACTTGAGATACTGAATACTCACAGAACTATTTCAAGCAGAATGTGCAGACAAATTAGGAAAAGGTTGTATAGACTAAGCTTAACTCCCTAACCTAAGTATACAAGATTAATATTAATATTCACCTGGGAACTTTCCAGCAAAT